ATGCCAGATAGTCCTGACCAACATTGTAACTTACGGTGGGGGACATGTTGTATTAGCTTTATGCTGGAGGGGCCAGAGGTAAGGTTAGTTATTCAGGCAGTCAGTTATGCCTATGTGACAGAATCTTGATAGCAACTTGGGACACCAAGGCTCAAGTGAGCTTCCTTAATTGGCAATACTCCTGCCTGGGGTCCATATCACATCATTTCTGGAAGAGAACAGCACTGTACATATGATGCCACTGGGAGGAGACAATGGGAAGCTTGCACCTGTTTTCTCCTGGACTCTTCCCTGTGTGCCTCTTCCCTTTGTGGTTTTTAGTATACATCTTTTCATGGCAATAAACTATAACTGTGAGAATAATGGCCTTTATGAGTTCTGTGAATCCTCTTAGTGAATACAATTCTCTTATAGTCATAAGTACTGTAGGTGAAATCTGGCGGCAACTTGACTTAGCTTTCCAGCTTCAAGAGGCTTTTAAAAGTCCAATATGAGATTCTGTATAAAAATATCTGGTGAAACAAATTTAGAAAGACCCATATAGTAAACAACCATTTTTGATGCACCTATGTAGTCATGCCAAATATAATGAAATCATTCTTATTTTATGATTAAGAATAATTTTTATTTGAGATTATTTTACATCAAAAGAGAAATGGTTACAGAGAGAAAAGTTATGCTGCAGTGGAAAACTATGCATTCCCTACAGTTTATACTTCTGAGTTATCAAATAGTAGTCCTGTTTTTTGTTTTTAGTTCTTTTGAACCTCTTTTAAAATTATGGGTAAATGATGGGTATATAAACTCTGTCTTTTCTGGTAGTGTTTTAATTGACTTCTGCCCTATCTGTGGCAAAACAAGTTTTGGCACCAACCTGTAAATTGAACTGGAAATGGTCAGCTTGCCCAAATTGTCAGTCATTCTTATATTTTTAATTCTTTCAGTTTCCTTCAAAAGTGGCTATAATTCATCAAGCTTTTCAAGTTTTTCTTGTTTCTATCTGACTTGGCATCAAGAATTAAAACATACACTTTCAGATCTATACTGGGACTCTAGGTTGCCTGGTAGCTGGCCCTTTTCCACAGAATCAGAAAAATCCCCATAAGCTGAACCCTGGCAATTTAATATAAACCTGAGCACCTCAGCAGACCATTCATGGGCCATGATTCTCCCTTGACAACCTACTGTTTGGATAACTTTGAATGTCTGGAAAAATGCTCTTGTCATGCATGCTCCTATGTGGGAGATTATGAATCTGATGCATAACACCAGACAACTCCTGTTCCTATGTCTAGAGCTTCACGAAACTCTTTTCCATGTTTTAAGCATCCTTTGCTTTTTAAGATGACTGATTCCCAGACCCTAAAACAACTGCCCTTTGTCATCACCCCTTAACAAATTGTTCAATGTACTTTAGAGGAAAGAAAGATCATCAAGAGTCCTCCAGAGACTATTTCTCAGACCTTGCTCTGTCCCCTGAAGGAGGTTTATGATCACTGCTAGGTTATTCAGCAACAAATAACACTTGTCTTTATGAAAGGAAGAATTGACAATGCTGAACTTTATCTGAGTCCTGTGCTCCTCGGAAGAAGTGATGATTAAGAAGCCCACCATCGTTCTGTGTTTCTGAAATGTCTAATCACAGAGGACCACCTAATGCTTGCATGTTCCAAGATAAGATCAACCACTATCATTTTTTTCTAAGATGGAGTTTCACTCAGTTGCCCAGGCTGGAGTGTAGTGGTGTGATCTCAGCTCACTGCAACCTCTGCTTCCTGGGTTCAAGTGATTCTCCTGCCTCAGCTTTCCAAGTACTTGAAATTACAGGTGCACACCACCATGCCCAGCTAATTTTTTGTATTTTTAGTGAAGATGGGGTTACACCATATCGGCCAGTTTGGTCTCTAACTCCTGACCTCGGGTGATCTTCCTGCCTTGGTATCCCAAAATGCAGGGATTACGGGCGTGAGCCACCGTGCCCCGTCAACCACTATGTTTTCTCATGATTCCCATAAGAGCTGTGGATGACTTCCTTGTTTGTTGACCTTGATAAACCCTCAGGTCTCCTGCCTTTCGCTTGAGATTTTCTTCTATAATAAATGTTTTTCCTATTGCAATCACCTAAATAAAATTATCGCCACAATTGCCAATTGCATTTTGTTTATCACAACAATTATAGACCTTGGAAGGTGTGTGTGTGTGTGTATGTGTGTTGTGTAAATCAAAGAATTAATTTTCACTTTTTAAAAAAATTGAGATAAGAGATTAGTTGCAAAATGCAGAGAGAATATTTATCCACATAAAGGAGTCAGTGCAAAGTAACCATGAGCATTAAGCCCCTCGGAAATCCTCTTGGAATATCTGGAAGGGCATCAGAGCAGTGCTTCTCAAACTTTAATGCATAAACAACTCTTACAGGAGCTTCTTAAAATGAGATTCAGATTCAATAGAGCTAGCGTTTTGGCTCTGCTCTCAGATCATGTTAATGCTGCTGTCTATGGTGCTCACTTTCAGTAGCAAAGCTTTGCAGGACATGGAATAGAAGTTTGAGCTAATCTTTTCTAGATCTCAAGAATGACCCTAGCTGACATTGAGCTATACAATACATGCAATGATGTCAATGTATGTTTGGTCACTGTATATTTCAGAGAAACTTGGATATATAGCATATAGACCACTCTCATGACAGCGTTAGGAGGAAAAGCTAACTTGCTGCTTTGTTCCCAGGAGGTAAAATTAATAACCACAACAAAAGATGGTGACTTCTTTCAAGGCTATCTCATAATAGGTAAAATCAGTCAATAAGAGAACAGAGATTTTTCAAGAATCAGCTTGATGTAATGTATCATATAAATTTATACCTCATAAGTCACATGTTGTAAATGCAGTTTTAACAGCTGCAGCCTTTGCAGAGTTTTTAAAAGCATAGTGATTAACGCTGCAATTTTTTAACAAAAGCAAATGTTTACCTTAGTTCTCCTATTACTTTAAAAACAGGCATGAGGAATTGATGTTCATAGTATAGTACCAAAACCACATTAATATTTTAGTAATTTTCTGCACATGCAAAATTATATTGTCTCTAAAAGTATGATATCATCTTGGTTTCTTATATGTGTGGCTATCTAAATGCAGATTTTTTTTTCACCTGGACCTTGCTCCATTCAATTACACAGCCAGGCAGCAGATACTGTACTCATCTCCAGGATAAATTCCCATTAGAAAGCACGAAATTGAATTTACAGTATAGCTTGTGCCTTCCTAGCACAGATTATACTTTTGAATTTACAGTGTACGGTTTCACATGAGATGACTGATTCATTACAGATTCATTACAGTAAGGCTGCTTTTTCTGGTGTCCCCACTGTTTTTTTGGACCTGGGAAATTCATACGAACCTGTACATTGGTATTCACCTTGATGTAAAACAAAGTTCCTGATGTCTAAATTTCAAGGAGTTCTGGAAGAGTTATATAGACAAATATGGTTAACAGAAATGAAAATTTTGAGCACATAAATCCTCCATCATAATTCTGAAATTATTTCCTTAGTGAATTCACCCATATACTCACAACCTTCGAATATAATAGAAAGTAATGGCCACTATCGTCACACTTTTCACAAGAGAGGATTGAATTGCAATTCATTGCAAAGAGAGAGAAATAGACTAGACATGCTCAAATAAGTTGGGTTACCTAATAAGATAAAGAAAGTGAGCATATTTAATTGTGCAGTGAGCAGCAACATTATTACCCTTTATTTGTAGAGGTAAGAGGGAGTGTTTGTGTGTGTGTGTGTGTGTCTGTGTGTGTGTGTGTGTGCCTGTGCACACTGACACACATGGGTGGGTAGCTAACGTCAGTCAAACTGTATCTGGGCTAATAAGAGACACTTTAAAAAACCTATTCCTGATCCTCACAATTAAGGATTCTATTTATACATTTCTATTTATGCATTTATAAGAGAAATGCTTTGTTTGATTAAAAAATATTCATTTACTTAGGGTCATATTTCCAGAATTCGAAGAATGCGGGTTTACCCTTTGTCTCCCAGTGTAAGGGTTCACATTGCTGGTGCTCAGCAGTTTCAGAATACTATTATTCTAAGTGAATTTTCAATAGCTCACCTACATAGCAGATTAGGCAAAGATAAAAGAAGAAAAAAAATAACTGCAGGACACTTTCTTTTCTTGTGATAATCTGGCAAAGTTATGTTTTGATACTGACAAAGCAAATCAATGGCTACGGTACTTGTATTATTCTCTATCAATTCTGTTTTCTTTCACCCTTATTTCAAAATTTCTCTTGTCCAAAAGTCAACAAATTGTTGTGTTCCACCAATTTCTAGGCTCACTACAAAAAATCCAGAAATGCAAACAACTCTGTGAGTTTGATGCCTCTATCATTGAGTTTATGGTACATAAATTCATCTGTATTTCTGATGTTTGGCCAGCAAGTATTGCCTCTGTGATTACTCCAGATTTTCACAAACTCTCAAGTCCTCCACTCAACTTCCAGCTTCTTTTTCTCTTTACAGATACTCATTTAATTCACAGAAGGCATGGAGACCAATGTCTCCATATTCAAAGCAGTCCTGTATGTGTAGTAAGACAAACACACTCCCTCTAAATAATACTTTTTCCTTTCTTTTTAATTATTTGTAATATTTCTTTCATAGTATATTCCAATGACCTTAGTTTCCAGGAATAATGTTAAATAATGTTGTTTCTTAATTTAATGCAGCCTTTAAAAATATTTTACCATTAAATATGAGGTTTCTCTAAGTTAATTTTGTTGTATTTTATTTATTCCTTTTTGATGTTTCTTTTACCTGGCTTCTCTAATTGGATTCTGCTTAGTGCATTAATTTTTAAAAATCTTCCTTGCTTTCTAAATATATTTTAGTCCATTTATTTGTTTTTGGGAAGGTATTATTTGAGCTACATCCTATAAATTTTGATACAAAGTGCTTTTATTATCATTCATTTAAAAATTTCATACATAATTTTTATTTAGAACAAAGTTTTATAATTTTTTTAGATATTTTCATGGGAGAAAAGGGAAGTCTTGCATGTTGATTAGAATATATGACCTACCTGGTTTTTACATTTTGGAATTTAAAATTATGTTTGTGCACAAATACATACCCAATTTTTGTATGTGTTTCATAGATGTTTTATAAACCTGTTATAGTTTAGGTTCCATTACTTACTGAATTCTTTCACTGAGATAATAATAATGTGTAGGGGAGAAAAAGATATTTTTTACTCTACATTTATAAGTTTTTGCCTGGGACTCCCTACAGCATATGACAGATTAACAACAGAAAAACAAACAAGTTTATTAACATGTATACCTCAGATATACATGAGAGATACCCAGAGAAAAATGAATAACTCAGAATTCAAGTGTATGTAGTATCTTCACCTAAAAGCAAAGAAAAAGGAGGATGTGACAGAGGCCAGTTATGGGAAAATGACCAGGAGAAGCGTGATAAACAAAAGTAAGATTTGTTATGCAGATTTCAGTTAGCACCTTTCACATTGATAAGAGTCTTTTGTAATTTAACCATCCTTGTCTTCCTGGTACAAAGAGGGAGAATCCCTCATAAATGGAGATATAAATTTCTCTTACAAAAGGGTAATTTCTACTGTATTTTCAGAGCTTATCCTGTTTCTCAGAATAATCAGCTCAAAACAATTCTTATGCCAAAGAGGCATTTTTGGTTTCTACAGTCTTATTTTGGGGTGGCATATTATAGTCTCCTACAAATGCCCACCTTTTTGTTCTTAAAACTCTTCCAGAACTTTGGGATCCTCTTCTAGGTAGGTAGTTCCTCCTCTGTTTTCCTTGTAAGTCTTTGAAAAAGTGAACACATGTTGGATCTGCTTTCACATTTTCTGTTCACTCTTCAATATTTTGGAGCCCGCATTTCATTTCCAAAAGGCACCCCCAGTTACCAATCTAATTTCTTAATTGTTACATGCAAGGGACCAGTCACAGTCCTTCTTTTCTACCTTAGTTGTCTCAATTTGCAGCCACAATTTGGAGAAAAAAACTTTACAATTAATTTTCTACTCTAAGAATATATGTCTTCTTTTATGTCTCATTTTAGAAAGAGGCTATTTAATTTTCTAAGGTTTAAAAGAGTAGTGAGGTGATAGGAAATGAAGAAAAGGTAGTTAATATGTTTCAGTTGGAGAACTAAAGAGTGGAATATTAAAATTTATCTTCAGTTCAAGATTTAAACTAAGTCACTGTAAAATTCTTGCTGCATGTGTCGAAAGATGAAATCGCAACAAATTTAGTTTAGAGATCTACATTGGCTGTATTGTAATTCTAGAATCGGGCAACATTTCATTCCATAAACTATAATAACTGTTTCAATGAGTCGAATGGAGGAGGTTGGCTTTATAGACAGAAAAAAAGGGCTGAAGAAGGCAGAAATAAAGCACAAAAAGCAGATTGATCATTTCAGAGTCATTTTCCTTGTAAGGCAGGGACAGAGAGGCAGAACAATAGAAAGATAATGTAACTGGGGGTTGGGGTACAGGGGCTCAGCTCCCTCCCGACGTTTGCCAAAGATGTAACGGGGGGGGGAGGGAGCAAAGCTGTAGGGCATCCAAAGGTGCTTCCTATTGCATCAATCAGACAGGCGCAGGGCACAGCTCCCTCCCTGGTCCGATGTGTCCCTGGATGTGCCCTGGCCTTTGATCTCTCTTACTCCAGGAATAGGGAACGTTTCCTAGAGGCACCATGAGCTTACTGTTGGAATAAATATCTTGAACCCAAAGAGTTTAGCAGAGAGCAATTTATTAGGCAGAGAGATAAAGAGAGAAGGAACGAGAGAGCTCCCACGCTGTAGTGGGAGGGATTCAAGGGAGGAATCTGCACAGGTAAGGGGCAGGGGATTTTAACCCTGGAGTTATTCCCGCCCCATTCATGTTCTTGTCCAATGAGAGGAGTTCTTTTAAACGTCCTCTGGAGTGATTGCTCTTTGACTCTGATACTGGATTGGCTGGTTGGTATGCAACAGAGGCCCTTCCTCCCAGAGCTTTTCGCGGGCTTTTCAAACAAAGGATCACACCTGGAATTTTTACCTAGCCCTGGAGTGGGAAATTCAGACAAAGAACTTTAGGTTCCTGGATGGGGACATGGATGGAGGCATGATGCTGGAAAGCTCTTGCCTTTGAAACCACGCCTGTTGTGGGCCAGGGAAGAGAGGATTTTTTTCCTTGACACGGTCTCTCAGTAACTGATTGGTTAACTCTTGGTGGTAGAGATTAAAACAGAGGGAACTTAATTTTCATGTAGTTTGAAGAATGACACTGGTCTATTTGGGAAATTAGGCTGTTATCTCTCCGTCTTGATTGTTAGAAAGGACAGAAAACAATTAAGTTTTGGTTTGGTAAGCACAGGTGACTTGATTTTGATTTTGAGTATGGTTTACTGAGGTCTAGTAGTTTAGGAGTTTATTCCAAAGCTACGGCCTCCTGTGATTTTCTTTTAAAAATATTTTATTGCACTTTAGGTTCTGGGGTATATGTGCAGAAACACGCAGGATTGTTGCATAACTGCATACATGGCAATGTGATTTGCTGCCTCCACCCCCGCCCCATCACCTATATCTGGCATTTCTCCCCATATTATCCCTCCCCAACGCCTGTACCCCCTGCTGTCGCTACCCTATTCCCCCCCAACAGACCCCAGTGTGTGATGCTCCCCTCCCTGTATCCATGTGTTCTCATTGTTCAACACCCACCTGTGAGTGAGAACAGGTACTTCAAAAAAAAAAAAGTACAGGTATATAGATATTATTTGTTTGATTTTCTGTTCTTTTGCCAGTTTGCTGAGAATGATGGTTTCCAGATTCATCGATGTCCCTACAAAGGACACGAACTCATCACTTTTTATGGATGCATAGTATACCATGGTGTATATGTGCCACATTTTCCTATTCAGTCTATCATCAATGGGCATTTGGGTTGGTTCCAGGTCTTTGCTATTGTAAACAGTGCCACAATGAACATACGTGTGCATGTGTCTTTATAATAGAATGATTTATAATCCTTTGGATATATACCCAGTAATGGGACTGTTGGGTCAAATGGAATTTCTATTGTGATTTTTGCTTAACACATGGTTTCAGCATTCTGGTTCCCCTGCTGTGACACATATCTTTCCTCTGTGTACCTCTACAGGTAAGTTTGGAAGCAACGGGAAGAGGGAAGGTTGGAACATTGGATCAGCCTGACAGATTCTCATTCATTTTTTGTTCTTTAGCACAGGTGCTTTCTCTGTCCAAAATACCTTTGTTTCCACAGCTTCCATGATGATTTCACTTGCAGAGCTGCTGGAACTCTAGCTCTGGAAACATACCATGCAGTGTTCTTCCGATGTCAGCTTTCTTGGTGCCAGGACAGAGGATGGGGGAATAGATGCAGAATGTGTATGACACTGCAGGGTCCAGCTTCTAGGTAATGCCTGGGAATTAAGCAGAAGAAGGCCAAAGGACACAGATCAGGGTACCGAAGTCCAAGCATAAATCTGAGGAAATCATACAACAAAAATAGCTAGGATATGCAGTTAGAATAACAGGAACCAGTAAAGAAAATATACTTGATTCCTCAGGACATTTCTGATCCAGTCAGAAGCCTTTTATGCGATTCCTGCTTAGGTAGAAGGAGACAGTTGCAGAAAATATAGGGTGTGGAAGTTATGGGAGTGATGGGAGCAACTAAAGGAAGATTTGAGATTTCACATAGTGTGCTCTGAATTTGCTTTGAGGGAATCATTTCTTACTTCTTTCTCTTCCTTCATGATCCTTTATGCAGTAGAGGTAATTTTTACACAAATTTCTCTCCCCTTTAATGCAGAAATGTTAATGGAACTTTTGAAGAAGTCAGATTTAAGTGTTTTACATCCCCAAATAGCATAAACAACAAATGAATTGGATTACCATATGAAAAATGACAAGTTTTTCCTTTTTCTTGCATTGAAGTTAAAAGATGCAGAAAACCTATTGTTACTTGTTACTGCTATTTGCACATTAAAAAATAAGAGATAAGCAAAGTTGGGGTCAAACTGGGCTTCTGTTCTCTAGTCCTCTTGTTCAAGGTTGTTGTGTTACTCTTTCAGGATACACTTGAAAAGTATCTGCTGACATTTAGAAAAAATGAGATTCTTTGTTATAAATCATGTAAGCACAAGTGTTCCTTTTTTTATACAAAGTGAGAAAATAGAAATTTACCAGGTTAGAATGAAGTTTAACAGACTCTCTGATAATTAACAGTTCAGTGTTTAGATCATAATTCCTTGCTTCTTTTCTTTCAGGGGAAATAACCAGCAACCTTGAAGCTGGAACATGTCATAAAAGGGGAGATTGAATTCATGGACTGGGAGTTGGAGGCTACTTAGAAAGATACTGCAGAAATGTGTGTTTTGCTATAAGCTTTGGTGTTATAGAGAATTATAGGCTCTTCACACCCCTTTCTAATTTTCTTATCCCAAATTTTCTCAACTCAAGATGGTTTCAAGTGGTCACTATACTTGAGCTTCAGAATAATTATAATAGGGCATGTGGTGGCCAGGAGAGAAAAATGACTGAGTGACTGTGGGAATTGACAAATATTTATTTTAGTTTGTGATATTGTAACTTACTGTATTACAGTTTCAAAATCACTTCTCAAAGACTAATTCTTGTTCTGAATTTGCAGGAATTTTTAATGCTCTATTTAACTAAAAAGTGTAATATTTAATAGGCATTTAGAATTTATTTATTGTCTATGATTTCCCTGGCATTTATTTGAGAGTTAAAGTTATAAAAAAGGCAGTCAGCTAAACTTTTATCATGGCTTAGTTCTCAGTCTCCTATGATAGAACCATATGGAGTTATCCTGTCTATAATGGTAGCCATTTGTTCCATATGGCTAATGAGCACTTGAAATGTGGCTAGTGAATTGAGGTATATTGTAAATATAGATTACACACTGAAATTTGAAGCATTAGTATGGAAAAATGTAAGATTTCCATTGTTAATTTTTATAGCGATTACTTGCTGAAATAATATTTCAACAAGTAATCGCTATAAAAATTATTAATAGAAATGTTAATAAACATTAACTATAATTGGGTTAAATATAATAGTAAAGTTGATTTCATATGTTTCTTTTTATCTTTTATAATGTGGCTGCTTGAAAATTTAAGATTATATAAGGTATTTGTATTTGAGGCTCACATGATATATTGATTGGACATCACTAGTCTAGGATGTATGTTAAAATAGCAAGTTATCATGTTCCATTCACAGACATTGTAACCACCCAACAGATTCATCTTGCTATTGCCTAAACAGAGCCAGTTTATCTAGATTAGCTCCCCTAGACAGGGGGATTGCCGTGGAGAAAGAGTAATTCACACTGAGCCAGCTGTGTGGGACCAGAGCTTTATTATTACTCAAATCAGTCTCCCTGAGCATTGGGGGATCAGAGTTTTTAAAGATATGTTGGCAGGTAGAGCCTTAGGAAGTGGGGAGTGATGACTGGTCAGGTTGCAGATGGAATTGTAGTGGGATCCAAGTGAGATTTCCTCGTTGTTTTCTGTTCCAGGGTGAGATCACAGAACTGGTTGAGCCAGATTACTGGTCTGGGTGGTATAAGCTGATCCACTGAGGCAGGGTCTGCAAAATCTATCAAGCACTGACCTTAGGCTTTACAATAGTAATGTTATCCCCAGGAGCACTTTGGGGAGGTTCAGACTCTTGCAGCCAGAGGCTGCATAACCCCTAAACAGTAATTTCTAATCTTATAGCTAATTTGATAGTCCTACAGAGGCAGACTGGTCCCAGGTAACAAAGGGGGCCTTTTCAGGAAAGGGCTATTATCAATTTTGTTTCAAAGTCAAACTATAAATTAAATTACTTTCCAAGGTTACTTCAGCCCATGTCCAGAAATGAGTAAGGACAGCGGAAATGTTAGAAGGAAGATGGAGTCGGTTAGGTTTCATCTTTTTCACTGTCATAATTTCCTCAGCTATAATTTTTTAAAGGCAGTTTCAACATTCTAATTCAGGTCTGTGGTTGTGAATCGAAAATATGTATTTTCAAACAAGCACCTCGGATGTGATCTAAGGACCATACTTTGAAAACAAAAAGCCTTGAGTGCAGAGTAGTCATAGAGACAGACAGTTGAGTAATAAAGAAAAGTGATTAAAGAATAGTAAAGCCTATGGCAGAAGAAAGTTCAGTGTATTGTAAAACGCTACATTGAGAATTTTGAACAAGAGGAAGTGAGTCAAAGTAAGTTTTCCAGAGAAATAAACTGAGTCCTAAATACTGAGGAGTTACCCAGGTGAAGATGAGGTCTTTCTTCCGAGTAGGGACCAGTGCAAAGGTCACAGGTGAAAACAAGACAGCTTGGTGCACTGTCAGGACCAAAATTTATTATCTGGCTGGAGAGAGATGATGGAGATTGGGAGAAAAAGAGATGATTCAAGAAAAATTGGTCATGAAGAACTTGTAAGCTATGTTATGAAATCTGGATTTTATTTTAAGACAATAGAACATTATTGAAAATATTTTAAGGAATGCAGTAGCAGTGTAAAATGGGTAGTAGGAGTATCTTGTAGTCAGGAATGTATCAATTACACCATTGTCATGGAATTAAAGTGGAAGTATTCACTTGAAGTTAGTTTGTTTTTAATGTAGACTATGACTTTTATGATTTTTTCCCTCTTTGTTGTGATGACTTAGAAATGTAAATCCAAATTTGTGAGTCTGTGTAGGCGTATACATGACAGAATGGTTTAAATTTCTGTGATACAGTGTTACTAGTGAAATTACCATTTTTCTCCCCTTAATTTCCTTTGCCTCTTATGTTCTGAATTAATTTGTTTGTGTTTTGTGCAATTTTGTTTTGTGTATGTTGTAAATAAAGCAAGATATAAATAAATATGAAGTAATTTTTAAATTTAACTTTATTTTTATTTTACTTTAAGTTCTGAGATACATGTGCTGAATGTGCAGGTTTGTTTGATACATGTGCTGTGGTGGTTTGCTGCCTCCATGAACCCGTCATCTAGGTTTTAAGACCCGCGTGCATTAGCTATTTGTCCTAAAGCTCCCTCTCACCTTGCTCCCCATGCCCTGACAGGTCCCATTTGTGATGTTCTCCTCCCTGTGGTCCATGTGTTCTCATTGTTCCAATCCCAGTTATGAGTGAGAACATGAGGTGTTTGGTTTTCTGTTCCTGTGTTAGTTTGCTGAGGATGATTGTTTCCAGCTTCATCCACGTCTCTGCAAAGTCTGACTGGGAAAACATGCTATACAAACTAAAAATGTGGCCATTATAAATCTTTCTTTAAAATAAAAATTATAAAAATTAAGGAGAAGAATATATCTCCTTGTGAGCTAAAGATTTTGCCTTGCTTAATCTGTAATACTTATTACTAATCTAACAAGAATTCCTATGCCTGTTTGCATGCAGAATGTTCTGCTAGGCTACAAGTAATGGCTATTTACTGTCAATTGTTTCAAAGGGATTTCATAATCTGTTTGTATTTTTTTGGTATATTACTTATCAGGTGTGAGCTCATCAATTTAATTTATTTACATTTTCTATAATGTAAATTCTCCAAACCCGCTTTCTATTACCTAACAATCACATGGGACCTAACTTTCAATAAAAATGCTATTAATCTCTTGTATTGATCTTTCCAAACTGGATGATAAAGTTATACCTTTTTTTGTAACTTTATAGTCACAAGGGGAATTTAGTTCATATATAGTAATAGAAGTTGGCATTTATATGATAATTTCCATTTATTGCATCCATTATCTTCTTATCCAGTGAATTACAGAATTCTGGAGATATTGTTCTGAGGATTTCTTCCTAAGCTAGGAAAGAGAGAATATATCTCAGACCAAATTACAAGGTGTTTCCTCAACTTTTTCATCACAAGTTTAAAAATTGGTGTGGAGCATTGTTACAGAGAAGTTGAAACTGTTTCTGTGCTTTAAACTTGTGTTTTTATTAGAAAAGTATAACTGTTCATTATAAAGTAAAGCATGTCAATTAAAACTTCAGGAGCCTGTCCTGGTTTCCACAACACCATACACTCTTTGTTTACTTCTACCTCCCTGACCATTCCTCTAAGTTTATTTTGTTAGTTCCCTTTTTCTTCCTCTGCTGTAAATTTGGCATTTTTAAGGGGTCATTAACCTTTGCTCCCCTTTCTCTATCTACATGAACTCTCTATGTGATCTGTGTTAATCCTCCAGATTTAAATACATCTGTATACTGATGACTCAGAAATAGAAATCTCTAGCACTAACCTTTTCTTTTAAGACAGGGTCTCGCTTTGTCACCAAGGCTGGAGTAAAGTCTTACAATCATGGCTCACTGCAGCCTTGACCTTCTGGGCTGAAGTGATTCTCCCACCTCAGGTTCTCGAGTAGGTAGGACTACAGGTGCTTGCCACCATGCTCGCCTACATTTTGGAAGGGGGGTTTGTATAGATTAGGTCTCACTATGTTACTCAGGCTGGTCTCTAACCTCTGGGCTCAAGTGATCCTCCCACCTTGGCTTCCCAAAGTGGTGGGATTACAGGCATAAGTCACCACGCCCAGCATCTTCAGCTTTTGATATTACTTTGAGGGCTTTTTCTCTCTCTCAATGTCCTACACTGATTTTTAAATTGTTGTTGTTATCCTAAAGACCATCTTTTTTTCTTTCTATCTTGTTTTTCTTTTCTTAGTCTTTTTCTCATTTCTATTTCCCAGGGAAAGTATAATATAGTTAAATGTGTGTTATGGGGAAAAAAGAACGGTAGTCAAAGCAATTTGTCTTCCTGGAATTGAGGCTGTAAGTGTGTTGGATCAAAAGAAGTTTCTCCTCTGCTTTCTCAAGGTTTGATAACTGAATCTGCTGAGATAAACTAACAATAGGTCAACTAACAAGAGAAAATATACAAAAATTCATTAATGTGCAAGCACACAGGAGTCAAACAAAGTGTGAAACTCAAAGAAGTACCAGATGGTTGAAATTTAAATGCTGTCTTCATAGGGGATAGGGAAGTGGGGGATGTAGACAATTTCAGGGGAAGAGTAAATGATTTTTAAGGGAGATGAATGAGTCTAAAGAACAGACAAAAGCCCAGGACAGGGAACTGACATAGGGTCAACTTAGTTTTCCTTCCTGAGTTATGCATCAATTTCCCTTGGTTGATGAGATATCTGGAGAAGGGATTCACACAGTTGAATATCTTGTGGGGGCTCTGGCCTTTAGGTAGATAGGAAACTTCAGAGAAAACCCTTCTCTGCATTTGCTGCTGTCTAGGTTCAATCAGTTTGAAGTCTGAAGCAGCATATTCTGAAATATTGTTTTCTGAGCCCCAGTAGGTGAAAACACTCAAACTCATGCTGTCAGAGACTGTTTATTCCTCTCACATGATCATTTTCTAGTTCTCAACACCCATTCTGATGCTCATCAACACAACTGAACTGTGCACACTAGTCATACTTAAGTTCAGATCCTTTCACTACTGCAGGAAACAATACCAGCCATGATTTTTTGTCTTTTTTCTTCACATACAGGAAGATTGATTTTTAAAAATTATTGTATTTGATTACATATATGTGAATGTACTTAGAGATCCTTTTTTTTTTTAGTCGGAGTTTCGCTCTTATTACCCAGGCTGGAGTGCAATGGCACGATCTCAGCTCACTACAACCTCCGCCTCCTGGGTTCAAGCAATTCTCCTGCCTCAGCCTCCCTAGTTGCTGGACTACAGGTGTGCGCCACCATGCCCAGCTAATTTTTGTATTTTTAGTAGAGTCGGGGTTTCACCATGTTGACCAGGATGGTCTTGATCTCTTGACCTCGTGATCCACCCGCCTCAGCCTCCCCAAGTGCTGAGATTATAGGCGTGAGCCACCGCACCTGGCCGAGATCTTTTTAAAAATTGTGTGAAAGCTAAACTTTTCTTACCCCAAAAGCCAAACTTATTTTTTAGATCAGTATTTTCTAGGCTGTTACAATTCTGTGTTTCCTGTCTTGATATTTGACAGCAAAATATTATGCATTATTATCAACTGACGCCTAAATTATTCCTAACAGACTGATTTGCTGAGATCCCATCTCTTGTCACCTCCTTCTAAGGGGGAGAATATAAAATCAATTATTATTAGCATTCCGAATAGAGCCAGTAGAGTTAAAAAGCTGCTGGGTTGGTAGTGAGATGAGGGGCGATATACTGCTCTAGGGATGGCATCAAATTGCATCAATTTACCTTCCCCAGAGCAGTATATTGCCATAATCTCACTATCAACCTATCAGATTTTTAACTATACTGGCTCTATTACATACACTAATATTAATTTATTTCATATAAAGAGTCTTAAACAGTGTTGATTATAATCTACTGGCTCTATTAGGTATGCTAATATTAATTTATTTCATATAAAGTATCTTAAATAGTGTAAATTATACTCCTGGAATTACCCTTATAGATTATATACTTAAAAATAATACAAAATGTGGAGACATATATCTACACACAGATAGTTACTATTGTGTTATCTGGAATGGTGGCAAATAAGCAATCTGGATGTCCAAAATGAAATAAACAATTGGTTAAAATATTATGGTAAAATCTGGTAACTGACTAGTAAAGTACACACCAAAGTAATAATTCTAGCTACTTAGGAGACCAAAGCAGGAGGATCACTTCAGCCCAGGAGTTCAAGACCAGCTGGGGATATACAGTGAGAGACTTCTTTTTCCAAAAAGGAAAAAAAAAAAGACAAACACCAAACAAAACAATTAATACTTCAAAGCTTTTTTAACCCCATGGGGAAATGTTCTATAAAAGAGCCTGGGTCCAAAATTATGTGTAAACCTAGACTTTAAGTAAAAAAATAAATAAATACAGTCAAATTTTACCTAAAAAGCAAACTGCCAAAGGTAACAGTGATGGCTTCTGGATGATGAATTCATAGGTAGTATTTTTATTTAGAGTTTTCTATCCTTTTAGGGTTTCTGCAGTAAATATAGTCCACTTTGATAACTGGGAAAAATAGACTGTTTTTGTAAGTGCAGTGGCTTTTCCTTTGATTCAGGATTATTCCCTGGAGCTCTGCTCTAGTTGTGATCACATCCAGAGCCTTAAGATTCCTCAGCTGCCTAATAAACCAGAGAACAGAATGATCTGGACAATTCATCCAGGATTTGGCTTGAGCTGCTGTATTCATCACAGGGTCCTCTTGTTCCTGAGCAACAATTGTGGGGTTTATGAGCCCTGGAAGGAATAGCAAGTTAGAGCTGGAATTAGCTGCATTCTGGTCACGGTTACACATATGTGGCTTTCATTGATTTTTATGGGAGATTTGTGCACATAATGGAGAGCGGAATGTCACTGATTTGTTTTAATTTAGCTTGAGCAGTAACCCTTTACTAATGTGACTCCTTCTATAAGAGGCAAATCTGCTCTCATTTTTGTTTTTGTTTTGTTTTTTTTTTTAGTTGTGAAAAGCATTGGTTTAGATTTTTATAACCAAGGAAGTCTCAGTGGTGACTTCAGATCAACTTAGGCACTTGCATGTGAGTCATGCTTTCTTTTCATTGGCTCAAACTTGTAATCATCTCAGTTGTAAGTTAATAAAACCAAGATTTGTGTAATGTTTCTCCCACACTTTTTCTCAAATTCAGATTACACATTGCACAAACGTTTCTCAATACTGGCACTATTGACATTTAGGGATACATAATTCTTTGTTGTAGGGGACTATTCTCTGCAGGATGTTTAGTAACATCCTTGACCTCTATGTTCTGGATGCTAACAGCACTCTTTTTTTAGACTCCTAGGAGTCTAAATAGCCTCGAGTTGAAAACTATTGGATTAGACAAAGTATAAAGAAAAATCTA